TTATGCTCTTTATTGCAGGTTAACATCTTTACAGGTATGTGGGAGTTGCTACGGTCTTTCGATGGTTGCTGTTAAACGACTGGGAAGGAATTTTCCCTGCATTGGCAGGTTTCGCCTTCCCCATAGCAAAATGTCACAACTTTGGCGGTTTTAGGCCTTGGGCGGAATCCTTTGTTTCTCAACCTGTGGGTCCCCAGATGTTGTTGGACTACAACTCCCATCATTCCTAGCCAGCATGACCAGTGGTCAGGGAAGATGGGAGTTGTAGTCCAACATCATCTGGGGACCCACAGGTTGAGAACCGCTGATTTAGTCTATCTTCCCTAAATGGGGGGTGGGTGGGTTTTGAAGCGGTGACACACGCCCCCCCGGCAATCCCATGGTTCCCCGTTAAAGGGGCTGTGTTGAAGGGAGTCACTGGCCATACGCTGAAAGGTTGTCAGTGCACTCCCCTGTGTTGCGGCAAAATGGGGGTGGGCTCTCTGCTTAAACATATGTCTTCCAGAGCCAGCCCACTCCCCAGACAGATCTGTTAACCCTGATGTGCCTCAGATCCCCGGCTGGGGACTGGGAGGGATAAATGCCCAATGCCTAAGCCAAAGTCTTCCTACATCTGAAAGTTTAAATAAAGTTTAACCCCATAAATAAATTTTAACCCCATAACACGTCATGCACCATTCATTTCACCTGGGTGGCTCCTTCTCTGCCTGGCCACGCAATAAACCCGATTTGCAATGAGGGTTGACAGTTGCAACTGTAAAAAAGGTAAAGGGACCCCTGCCTGTACGGGCCAGTTGTGTCGACTCTGGGGTTGCGCGCCCATCTCGCTTAAGAGGCCGGGGGCCAGCGCTGTCCGAAGACACTTCCGGGTCACGTGGCCAGCGTGACAAGCTACATCTGGCGAGCCAGCGCAGCACACGGAAACGCCGTTTACCTTCCCGCTAGTAAGCGGTCCCTATTTATCTACTTGCACCCGGGGGTGCTTTCGAACTGCTAGGTTGGCAGGCGCTGGGACCGAGCAACGGGAGCGCACCCCGCCACGGGGATTCGAACTGCCGACCTGACGATCGGCAAGTCCTAGGTGCTGAGGTTTTACCCACAGCGCCACCCGCGTCCCTATATTGCAACTGTACAATGGCATAAATTCATGGTTACCTGATTAACAACATGTTAACTGATTAGTTCATTGATACTTAGGTAGTTCAGTAAGTCAAATAGTGTAGTGGTAGATTCTGAAGTGCAGGAGCACATCATGATAGCCTCCATAGTCACCCCTCTGCCCCAATAAGTAAAGTCTGAAAGGGAGGCAACCTTTGGGAAGCCCATAAGAAGAATCTGAGTGCAGCAGCACTCTTCCCACTTGTGAATCTCAGCAACTGGAATTCAGAGACATGCTGAATTGAGCAGAAGAGAAAGGCATAGCAATCGTGGATATTTTCATATACTGCTTTTATATATTATATTTTGATGTAGTTTCTGTATTATTGTTTGTTTGTAAGGTGCCCAGAAAAGTTTATTGAAAGACAGAATATAAATTCTTTAAAAGGAAGGAATGTACTAATTTCCACTGTTTTAATATTGTTTTATTACATTGGATTTTGTCTTAAAATGTTGCCAGTTGCTCTAGGTTTGGTTGATGAAAAGTAGTATGTGAATGATATCCCACAAAAGGTTCTACCACAGGTAAATCTGTTTCGGCTTTCAGGTACCACAAGCCTCTTTGTTCTTTTTGCTGCTGCAGAGCACTGTGGCTACCCTTCTGAAATTCACACTGATTTGGATCTGGTTTTTTTTCTCCTCTTGCAAATCTAGGTCACTTGCCTGGTAACCCCTGAGCCTGTGGTCTTGAGGTGAAGTCTTCAGAACCCAAAGCCTCAACTGAGAGAACATGGATGGAACCAGACTCTTTGAAGCCTGCATGTTGCTGGTTGGGGTGACTGGTGCATAACACCAATGCAACCAGTTGGTGCACTTGGGAAAAAGCACTGTGGGTAGGAGAGCGTGGAGTGGGGCTGGGCCTGCGGTGTGTGTTTCCTGAGATGAACTAAGATTGATGCAAAGTGCATGCAAGCACATGGTGACAAGTGATGACTGCTCAGCTCTGGGAGGTATAAAGGCCAGTGCTGGCAAAGCGCATTTTAAAAAGAAGCTAGTTCTGGTTCTAGTTCTTCCTGTCCAAAAATGAATTAGTTTCGGTTAGTTTGTTTGGCAAACTGAGATAGTTTGTTTCAAGTCCATCCAAATGAACTTTTTAGTCTATAAGAACATCTTTGCCCTCTCACCTGCACCTCAAAAAAATAATAATCAGCATTCAGAATGCTATAAGCTACTGTGCTGAGCTGTTGGATCCATAAGTAAACCAGGGGCCACACACAAGGAATAGGATGTCCCTAGTTCTAGGATTCCTCTAGTGTGATTCCTCAGCTGGTGTAGGCTTGGAACAGGTGTGGGTCACCTGCCTCATTAAGCCCAGGTGCTGCAATCAGCAGGCAAAGTACAAAAGGGAAGCAGAGCTGAGGTGTTTTGTCTGCTCAGCTGCCCGCAATGATGGATCTTGACTAAGATGCTCCTAGACCTCCATAAGACTGTGCTTTGGGTTTGACTCTGGACTTCAGACTTGGCTACTTGGATTGACCCTGGACTGTGTTTCCTGATCCTTGGACTTTGCTTGCATGGATTGATCCCTGGTCTTTGAACTTTAGATGACATACTGACTTGCTGCCAGGTAGGCCAGGGATTCAGGACAGTGGGTGGTTGTTTTTCTCGGCCCCTCCTCCATGCTTTCTAATAATGTGACAGCAGAACTACATCTCTCATTGTTCCCTGCACCGCACCACACTCTTAGCAAGTGGTGCATCCTGATGGAGAGAGGGAGGGGGAATCTTTCCACTCTGCTCCCCCTGTGCCTTCATTACTGCTCTAACGAACAAGTTAAGGAATGGGAAGTGGGAGTGTTTCTGGTTGGTGGTCATGTATGTGGGGAAATCTGATGGAGAGTGGGGCAGCTGGAACTTCTCCAGCTCAGATCAAAATCTGAGCTGGAGGAGAATTTGGGGGCTTGTAAAGCTTTCCTGGTTATGAGGGGGTCTTCAAGTAAGGGTGGTGAAACCTGAGGCTCTGGAGACAAATGTGCCCTTCCACGCCTCTTTATCTGGTCCTCAGGGCTCTCCCTGGGCCTTGCCCCCTTCACTGGCCATGGCCTTCTTCACTGTGTTCCACATTCTCCTCAAGTGGCTTTACCTGGCTGAAACGTAATAAACGCCTCTTCCTTGCCTATGTGGCAGATGGATCAATGTGTGCTGGGTGGGTATAGAAACTTCTGGCTTTTGTGTGGCAGGTATTCAGCATGCCTTACAAAGGTACGAGTCACATATATCTGCTGTTCTGTCCATGTTGGCCCCTTGTCACCCACTTTGCCTCCGGCTTAGCCCACCACAAATTTGGGGCCCCAATAAGGTTGCTTAAGAGGGAAAGCAGCCAGGAGATTGGTGGTAGGATGATAAGTGATCAGAGGGAGAAGCCACAAATTTGCATGCTCTCTGACATTAAAACTGTGGGCAAGGGTGAGGGCTGAACTGAAACCTTTCTACCTGATGTGCTAGATTACTATTTGTAGGGGGGGGGGTTTGTTTGTTTATGTAGGGGATCAGTAAAAAATAATAATTCATTTGTGTGGTAAAGCCCAATCTGCCATCTCAGGACTCTTCTGCCACATTCTGCTGCATATATAAGATTTCTTACTCAAATGTTGCTCGGTTTTTCAATATGTTGCAATTTCTAAAAGGGGGATTTGGGCCTCTTACAAAGGCCTTCTCCCCCCTGACTTTGTCTCTCAGCTAGCATCCTGTCTTGCAGCCTGGGTGCTGTGACATTTCTCTGAGGTAACAGGTGCACAAAAACCACTCTGAGGGCCATCAAAAAACCGATGACTTCCCTCCTTGTATAGACTTCTCCTTTCTGAGGCAGAAAAAGAAGATGTGGTGTCTTTGAGAAGCCGGCCTTGCGTGCTGGGGCCAAACCCTCACTCTGTCTGGCGGCGGCTGTTATCTCCGCTTTTTAAAAATTGTTTTATTCCTTTTTTAAAAAACACCGGAAACTGTTTTTGTTATGTCTGTGTTGACACAATAAACATTAAGATTCATTCTTTTGGGCTTGGGGTGTGAATGCACGGAATTTCCCAAGGCAACCGTGTAAGTTGTTAGAGTAGACAGTCCTTTCATGAAGGCCCATCTGAAACAACATTGCCTGTGGAGGAGAATCCAAAATGGTGTCCCATCTTACGCTAATTAGCATGGGGGCGCAATCCATGGGAAACACATGGCTTCTCCCAGATAATCTTTGAAACTGTAGCTTATCCCTTACAGAGCTACAATTCCGAGCACCCTTAACTACCTGCAGTTCCCAGGATTCCTTGGGGGAAGCCATATGTTTGAGTGTATGGTGTAGATTGGCTTGTCACTTCTTGGCTTCAGCTGAACTCCATCAACACAGTTTTCACTTCATGGTGTTTAACAGACTACTTGGGGAAAGTGTTGACCACACAGCCACAAACAGGTTTGGGGCTGGGTTGAAGTTCTGCCAGACTGAGATTCAGCCATAAGAGCCCTGCTTTGCAAAAATGTGCATATTAGGCAAAATTGCATCTAAAAATATGTAAAGATAGGAAACAGTTGCTTAAAAATGTTGGTGAATTTTCATGAGGACTTTTAAAAAAAATGCACACTGATGTAAAAATGTGGAGAACTGAAGGTTGCAAAAATGAGAAACTGAAATTGACATATTTGCCCATCTCTTAGAGGAAACTGGCCAACACCATCTATGGTTGTACTTGTGGAGTACTGACTGCTGTTATGAGGCACACCATGCCCCAAATTCCAGGAGAAACGGGTAGCAATGGGAAGCCACCTTATACCAAGTCAAACCATTGGTCCACATCGTGCAATATGGTCTGCACTGAATGGCAGCAGCTTTCCAGGGTTAGAATCTCTCCCAGGCCTACCTGGAGATGTCAGGAATTGAACCTGAGACCTTCTGCATGCAAAGCAGATGTTCTACCACTGAGCTATGGCTTTTTCCTTTGCCAGACTTTTCTTTCTCTTTGGCCCAGCAAATGGTTGGTTTTTCCTGCGAAATGCCTGACATTGTTATTCCAAGGTAGCTTTAGCAATCTCACCTGGGCTAGAGGGTACAGGTGATGATCTGAGGCTGCCTCATATTGAATCGGCCCATTGTTAGCCCGTCTGGTTCAGGAGGGTGCCCACTGATGCAGTGCCATATGAGAGGAAATGTATCACCACAAAAGAGGACACAGATGTGTACAAAATGTTGCACATGCCAATTTAGAAACTAACAACTAAAAAGAAGTATAAGCCATTTCACTATAGTTGGGAAGACTGTGACCTGCAGGTGACCTTTGTGTGCCTACTCATTCTGCTGGCCAGGTGCTGCTGTGGATGGGCAACCTCAAGAACCCTTGTGTTCTCCTTTCCAATGGTTCTTTATTTTTAATCCAGACTTGGATTGTAGAGGAGGAGTGGGGAACCTCTGTCTTACCTGCCCCTCAAAATTGCTGAACTACAGCTCCTGGACACTGGCAATGCTTGCTGGAGCTGAAGGGAGCTTTTGTTCAACATCTAGAGGGCCTAAGGTTCCCTACCCCTGGCTTATGTGACAATTCCACCCACCTTTCCCAGGTTGAACAGATGAAACACTACAGATGGAATGTGGGTGCTTCTGACAAAGTGCCACTGAGTCTTTTGGTATGATACTACTGAAGGGAAAATACTGTGTCTCTAAATCTAACCGTTCCCTCATTATGCTCATATGGGTGACACCAGTCCTAAAGCGCCAGATGTTTGTAGGTGCAACTCCCATCCTTGAACACTGGCCATGCTTGCTGGGGCTGATGAGAGCTCATTCAAGGTCACAGGTTCCCCACTGCTGCTTTGTTTGAAGTCATCCTTTATTTGAAGCTCTGTCCAGCTCTAGGGTAAAGTTTGAAAAGAGGACGGGTCTTGAAGTTGCCCATCTAGTTAGCACATGGACAGGAGATCAAGTAGGCACACTGCTTGCCTGGCTGTGGACTTATTTATCCTCACTAAGTTGTGATGCATCATATTTCTGTTTACATGATAGTTGTCAATATATGTGCCTCTGTACATATAAATGAGTGTGTGCAATTTTTCAGGCAAATTGGGGTCCTCTTTCATCTTTTTGGTGACGTCCACATTTTGAGTGATGAATAAGTGGCCACCCTTCTTGCAGCTGGCTATGCCTGGCACAGCTGCATGAATTCTTGCTACAACCCTACTGTATGTTCACTTGTGGAACAGATGGATGCAGCTGGTTGAGTGGGTGGGGAGCAGAAACTAAGTATATTCAAAAGAGGAAGACTCATGGCTCAGTGGTCGAGCACCTGCTCTGCATGCAGAAGGCCTCAGGTTCGGTTCCTGGCATCTTCCTTGATCTTGGGAGTTGATAAAGAGACCTGCCAGAGACCCTGGAGAGCTGCTGGCAGTCAGAGTAGATACCACTGGGCCAGATGGGCCAGCGATATGGTTCAGCCCAAGGCAACCTCATATGTGTCAACATAAGAGCATAAGAGCCTGCTGGATTGGATCAGTTCAATGCCCCATCTAGTAGCATCCTGTTCTCACAGTGGCCTACCAGATACCCATGGAAAACCCACAAGCAGGGCCTTTTGAAGAGAAAAGGTATTCACAGGGATAGAACCTAGAAGAGTTGGTGGCATGCAAATTGAGAATTAGGGATGGACAAATCTGGCAATTTCGGTTTTTCGGTTTCTCATTTTCCCAGTCTTCAGTTCTCCACATTTCTACATCAGCTTGTGAATTTTCTTTTTTTTTAAAAAAAAGTCTGAAGATTCAGCAGCATTTCAGTGATAATTTCTCCTATTATGTACATGCTTGTATGCAATTCTGCCAAGACACATTTTTGCAAAACATCCTCTAATGTAATTCAGCTTTGTATGTTAATTTCACAAATATATGCATTTTAATGCAAACCGTACCCCATCATATGCATTTTTGTACAAGTGGCTGCATTGCAAAATTTGGAGAGATGTAAATTTCAGAGAGTGGCTGCATTTTGGTTCTCATGTTGTTTTGGAAAGTGTGAATTATGTAGATTTGTCTTTAAATGCGATCTGAAATGAATTTCTCCCCCGTCCCTAGAGAATCTTATGCTCCCTTTAATCCTTTTGTCTGTTCCATGCAACATGAAAAGGGCATTGCTACTATGCCTGGATTATTTTAAAGTCTTTGGGACTAATCCAGTGAGCACGTTTTGAGAGCCATCTCACTCTGGTGCCCACTATTTAATAGAGATGGGGCCTATGGCTGGGTGGAAGCCACAGCTGTAGGACAAATCTAACCTCAGATTTGTAGGGGTGGGCAGTGAAGGCTCAGTGGTGGTTTGGGATGGATGAATCAATTTATTTCTGGTCTGCATTAATTTGTAAATTCATTCCATCTTGTTTCCACAAATAATTTGTGACTTTTAAAAAGCACACCATATGAGCATTCTTTCTTAAAACAAGTATTTAAATATGTATTTAGTTTTTTAATAAAAACACCTCTTAAGCAGCTTACATAAATTGTAAAAAATATTTGTTCAAAAATAGCAATAAAAACAGCCTTTAAAAATGGACATAATAATTATAAAAATATAGATAAAACCAAACATTAAAAAACTATGCACATAATAAAAATTACACATCTGAGTATCACAAAATATTATTGAAATATGTATTTTATCTAGTGCACACATTTCTAAATGTATTTTACCCTGTAATGCATACTTTAATACATTTTAGTACGTTGTTTGAGTCAAGAATTGTATCACAACATTCAAAAAAGTGTGAATTCTGAAGGGTAATTACTTTCTGATCAAGTGAAATTAACCTCCATTCTTATTGATGGTGGTAACGCGGTCTCTGCATGTGCTGAGACCCCACCAGTGGCGTAGCGTGGGGGGTGCAGGGGGGGCCGGCCGCACCGGGCGCAACATCTGGGGGTTAGGGTTAGGGGGCGCAAATCCACTGGTTAGGGGGCGCAAATCCACGGGTTAGGGGGCGCAAATTACTTGCCTTGCCCCGGGTGCTGACAACCCACGCTACGCCACTGGACCCCACTGAGTTTGTTTTTGCATATGTATCCAGACTGTCCCTTTTCATGGAAATGGGTTCCAGAGCTGAGCCCTGCTGAAGAGCCCTAGTTCAAAGCCCTGTCAATTTCTGCCAAAGCTTGCTTCTTCCTCATTCAGAAGCAGGACTTATTGAGGAGTTCGTTCTGTTTCGTTCACATGAACTGAGCTAGTCTGCATCTCCCAGACAAATGTGCAGACAAGATCCTTCAGATTTCATACTTCTCCAAATTTTGCAGTGCATTTCTCAGCTCCACAAACACACCAAAAGGCACACCATGTGCATTTTAGGATAAAATAAGTTTATAAACTGGAATTTTGTGAGAAAAATATGCATTCTAAAAGTGAAGTTCTTTAAAAAATAAAATTGCAGATTACTGCAGCAAGGGGATGGAACAGACATGAATAAACCCATTTGAGGAGGAAGTCGCGTCAGTTGCTGGCAGCCTTGGTGGCGTCCCATTTTCAGCCTGGCTGGATGAAGCCATGGGGAGGCCAGAAGCTGATTGCCGTAGTGACAGCTAGACTGGGTACACACCTCAGAACTCACTGCAGTTCAATAAATAGTGGCTGTTGTGGCGGGGGGCATGAGAACTGAGTAGCACATTTTGGTGCAGCTGGAGGGGAGAAGACCTTCCAGGATGAGGAAAGGAGGGACTGAGCAATGGCAAAGAAAACCTGTGCCCCAATGGACACCCCAGCACGTGCAATTAAGGGGAAATGTGGTTTACATGGGAGGTCTGACAGTCGGGGATGGGGGACAAAAAAGGCAGGAGAACCTGTGATGAGAAGTGTAAATAAAGCCGGGGTGGCTTGCTTGGTCAGATGGAACAACAACAGCTTCCCAGCAGCAGAGTCACTGCTACTTACTGGAAAGGAGAGAGATGAGGCAGCAGTGAGACTAATGCTTTGCTGATGCACCAGCAGAGGTGATCCATTGCTCCCGCCAATGCATCTGCACAGCCTGAGCCTTGCAGCTGCCTCTCCCTTCCCCATCTCAATGGGTCAAAGCAATTCTGCTGCTGGGATGCCACTGCTGCAACTCTACCCCACCGCCAGACCTGCATTAATTCTCTGGGGAATTGGGGACCCACCAGGTGGACCCTGGAGGAAGGATCTCTTCTGGGGCTTGGGGTGGGGTGGGGAGTGCAGATCCAAGAAAATGGGATTCAGACAACATGCAAGACTGGAAGATTCATGCTGTGTCTTCAAAGTCAAGTGTTTGGAGGGCTCTTCTTCTCCCCGCCCCCATGCATCTCCCCAATTCCTAATTCAGAGTGTGACTCACTCGCCAGCTACAAAAGACACAACACTCTCAGTTCTCAAGAAACCACACGTCTGCATAAGTTTCCCACGGTCGGTACTTTAAATAGAAGCTGCTGGAGGACATGGTCGGTGCCTTTGCTCGCTCTCTCGACAGTCACGCAGCTCTCCCTCCCTGCTCCTCTTCCCTTCCTTCCCCATGTCCCTTTAGGCTAGTAAGTTATCAGAACCAATAGTCACATTTGATCTGAAAGGGATGGAGAAGTATGAAGTCTAGAGTTTTGTTTTTGTTCTTTTTATACCTCTAGGGACAGGATCTGAGGTAGGAAGGTCCAATGACCAAAGCCTATAAAGTCAGCCTCTTTAGCCTGTAGGCTGGCTCCTGCTGTTTGACGTGGCTAGGCCTCTTTACTACTTTATCTGTCCCCTTGAACAAGCATCTCCAACCTGCGGCCCTCCGGATGTTTTGGCCTACAACTCCCATGATCCCTAGCTAACAGGACCAGTGGTCAGGGATGATGGGAATTGTAGTCCAAAACATCTGGAGGGCCGAATGTTGGGCATGCCTGCCCTAGAAGATCCTTTCTGCTTGGTTTTCCTTGAACAATTGGGTATTACCAGAAGCTTTGCTAGACCTGACCTGGTAGGTTAGTCCAGAACCTTGCAAGAGTATATGTTGTTTATTTGGTTTTTCAAATTAATTTTACAATCGCATATCAACATACAAAATAAAATCAAGATTCCAACGATTCCTGGTCTTCACTCCTCCCCTTTGTGCATCTTATTGTTAATAATTTCTACCTGCATCTTTTATGATAATCCAAATCTTTTACATCTCCATTATGTCCAGAATTCACCATTAGACTACAAGTGTCATTCCACTCCTACTAACTGTTTACAATGGTTTTTTTTTTAAAGATAAATTATAATTTTCCTCCCATTCCTTATTAAAATTTTGGTCTTCCTGATTTCTGATTCTTCCGGTCACTTTAGCCATTTCAGCATAAGCCACCAATTTAGCTCTTCTGCAAGTTAGTAAAGTCAGCTGCAAACTGAACATACCATTAAAATGTTACTATTTTAACACATAATAGAGCCTAATGGAGCAGAATCAAGCATGTATATACTCTATATTTTTGTTTAAATTAATATCCAAAAATACTGCACCAAGGTTATCCAAGTTGCGAAATTCTGTTAGCGTGAACATGAATTCTGTGCCCTGTGTACATTATGAAAGACGGAGTTTTCCCCAGCCCTACCTGGTGTTTACAGGGATTGAACTTGGGACTTTCAGCATTGCAGTGTGGGTGCTCTACCACTGACCTTTGCCAGTTCCCCAGGATAATTTCTGCTCTGTTGCCTACCTTGAGTCTTCAGGATGAGGTGGGATACAAAACTAAGCTACAGGTAGACCATGGGCCAAAATAGAATGAACTACAAGTGGTTTTTCACTGAGGAATTTTGTTCTGAAAATCAAACCCACCTCCCATTACTATAGCCAGGTAGAATGTGACTCTGGATACAGCAAGGGGACCAAATAAACATATAGTAATACAGTGGTACCTCGCAAGACGAAAAACTCGCAAGACGAAAGAGTTTTTCGTTTTTTGAGTTGCTTCGCAAGACGAATTTCCCTATGGGCTTGCTTCGCAAGACGAAAACGTCTTGCAAGTTTGTTTCCTTTTGGATTTTCAATGCATTCCTATGGGAAACCGTGCTTCGCAAGACGAAAAATTCGCAAGACGAAAAAACTCGCAGAACGAATTAATTTCGTCTTGCGAGGCACCACTGTAATGATGTTGGAAGTGAAAGGGTTAAGAGCCTATGAAGTCACCCAAATTTTCAGAATCAAACTGCAGCCACCATAAAAAAAGTGGGGAGAATCCACCCCAAACTACATGTGACTATTGTTTGGGACGCTTAAAGAATTTTATTGCCATATTATCTTAATTTGCTATTCTGTTTCCTGCAGACTCTGACAATATGTTTGGACGAGAGAGAGAGTAATGCCATGTCATTGACTTGAGAGTTTACTT